GGGGGCAATTGAAACCCAGAAAAATTACCAGATCACTCGATCATTTATACGTTGTTTTTTTTTTGTTTTTTTTTTGGACAACGGAGATGTCATTTTCTTAATTACCAAATGTGGAGTTACAGTAGTTACAAACCGTATGCCGTTAAAAGAAGCAAAACTTCAATAAATAATAATCAATAAATACTACAATCAAACAAGGGCCGAACTCACCGTCCAACAAGTCAAAGCTTACGGTATCTTCGATCAGATAAATTTCAGGAAAAAGTTCCAGCGAACTGTGTGTACTTTCTGCTTTATCCCCCGGTCACAGACTCAAGACAGTGACGTGGCGAGGGGCAAAATGTTATAGGTGGAGCCTGGCCTCTTGTGGAGGTGTGCTGCGCCGTCTAGAGCGACAGCTGATATACGGGATTACTGGGGTGCACAGCGGGACCGCTGGATGCCGGAGACACGGCAACGTACAGTGCGCTCGCAAGCACACACACACACGATTACAAACAACACTCACTCGGTGGACGTGCCGTCGTCAGGATCGGCTCCCACGGCGGAGTGCGGGACCACGTCCAGATCCCGGGTGGGGGAGTCCACGTGGTCGTCATCGGACAAGAAGAACTGCAGGACGCAAGCAAAACATTGCGTCAAAAGTACCGATGTGACATTTTTTGACATCTTAATTTGGTAGCTTTTTGTTGGTGTCGTGCACAAAATGTACTGGTGCAACTCAACAAATTAGAAAATGGTCAGAAAGTTCATTGAGACGTGAAAATTCATTTTATTCAAACTCATTAGACACACAAAAGATTTTTCAGGACGCCAAATTCTTTTTTTTTATTGTTTCATATGGAATATTCTAATTTTGAAATGGTGAATTTTGGATTGAATGGAGTGATTTATTTATCTTTTTTTTGGCTCCCTGTAATAACCGAATTAAATATATGTACAGGGAAAAAAACAAAAAAGAATCCACCGGCCCACGTTTGTTTTGTGTTTTTTTGCTTTTGTAGCACAGCAGAGGATTCGCGTGCAAACTGGATCAAAACTACAGTATTTAGCATCTACAGTATTCATATGTGGTGATGCAGTAGATAGAACTAACCGTGCTACCACCTTAGCAGAGGTAAACAAAAACGAAAGCAAATAGAAAAAAAATGTACACTTAAAAAAAAAAAAAAACATCGTGATCACAGTGACGCAACCCGAGACCCACTCCTGAATAATTTAGACTGTGCTCAAATATTAATAAAGGAAATTATGCAACCCCCACCCAATAGCACCCCTCAGTTTATGTGTGCGATGTCATTACTTCCACATCCTTGACCCCAACCGGCTCGGAAGAGGAAGCGGCGCTGGTTTCCTGCCCTTCCTCCTCCTCCTGCTGCTGCTCCTCATCTTCGACCTCCTCGACGGGGACGCTGCCGGGGGCGTGGGTGCTCTTGTGGTCCTTTTCCTTGCGCCTCTTCTTGCTGCTCTTTTTGTGGCGCCCGTCCTGGGGCAACTTGGACAAAGGGCGGTGGATGTGGTGGGAGGAGTGGCGGTGGTCTACGGGGGACAGTTTGGGTTCAGGGAGATTGAGCGTGTCAGATTGTGGTAAAGTGGTGCTTACATTCGATGTCCTCTTCGTGGTAGTTGTGGTGCTGCTCGTCGGGCACGGAAGTGGACGGCCTGAGGATGTGCTGGAAGCGTTGGACCCCCAACGCCTTGTTCAGGTCGCCGTCGTCGTCCTCGTCCAGTTGGAGCGGCCTGTGCGGAGACGACGGCTCAGGCTGAAAGGCCAAACAAAACAGCGATGAGCACGTGGCACTCAAATTTTCCACAATCACATTGACAATTTAGAGTCTTAAATGAAGTACTGGAAGATTCGAACCCAGAACTGCAGGCCACCAAGGCAGACGTGCGTCATACGACTCCACTATGCTAGTAATGTAGCGCTTACTGTCAGCAATGAAAGTCGGATAAGAACCCATGCATTATTTTTTATTATTATTTACATACAATCAGTCAAATTAGCATGTATCTACTTAAATGCTTCATGACTATCACATTTATAAGTAATCTTCAGCAGTTTTAATAGTGTAGGCAGAAAGAAATGGAATATTAAATGAGTTCTTTTAAAATATAACTGAAATTAAAAAAAAAACGCACCAAACATAAATAGAATAATATTGTTTCTACTTAACTCCCAAAACGGAAGTTTGTGTGACCCGTCGACATCGCTTCTTTTGTCGAGTGAAAAACGGACTACAGTTCATTCAACGGACACTAGAGGGAGCTGTGGTGTAGACGAGCGCTCCTGGAGCTGAAGCGTCACGTGACCTGACGAGGCCTCTCAAAAGCCTTCGGTTGTACACAATGACCATGTGCTGCGTTCCGTTCCTGTTTTTTTTTTTTTTTTTACCCCACATCGCAGTCGCAACGGATCATTTTTCGCGTCGCCGAGGGAAATATCGGCATAGAAGGCCGTCATTACTGGCCAGGTGTGTGTGTGAGAGCCCCCACTGGGAGGGTCACGTGATGTCAACAGTGTATTACTGTTTTCCTGTGCCACAAGAGGAACTGCCAAAGTGTGTGACGATGAATCATTTACAGCTCCTTCCTGTATGACTACCTGCATTTCCATTCACCATTTTGTTTTTTTCAACAATGGAATCAATATAACAATATTTTTGTAGTTGTAGACGTGTACTGCCTAATACTGAGTGTTCGACTGAATATTTTGCCCCCCCACGGTCGTCCGAAATTGTTACAGTGAATCGATTTGATCTATTATTTATTTTTAGGGGCATCTACAGTTGCTTACACTAACAACATGACTACGAGCAGTTTTTTAATCGTGATTCATTTGTTGTAAAAGCTTCCAAGCTGCAAATATTTTATATATTTATTTTCAACCATTGTGTTTACATACGCTGATATTTTTCCAAGAACAAGCTCTTATTTTTTTTTCCCAAGCTTGTTTAGTATCAGGAGAAATCAAGCAAATTCCCCCGATGGGAAAACAACATAAGGCAAGACTTGCTTGGAATAATGTCATTGTAGTTTGTTTGTTTTTTCTACAAGCAAGGAAATGAATAAAAAGATCAAACTCAGAAATGGGACATTTGTGGAAAAAATAAAAAATAAAATCTGACATTAAACTTTCAAGACTAGACGACACCAGCCCTTCTTTACCGCTTTTAGAAAAAAAACATCCACAGGAAATGTAATACAGCTACATAAGCTTCCCCAGCCGTTTATTTTCACATGGCGCTTTCACAGCCAATCCCCGGAGTTGGGAGAGACGTGCGAGGGATTCTCATGTAGGTGAGAGCATTTTTCCAGCGCTTGCCGAGTGCCAAAACAAGCCGTGGGGAGCCGAGGGGCAAACAAAAACATGGGGGGGTAGGTGACATATCGACTCTACCGTGTAGGAGTCAACAGATGGGACAAATAAACACATGCAAAGATGCTTCGTATTTGATTAAAAAGCACCCGAAGGCCGACACTAACATTGCAGGTCATACAACCAAGCTGCGGTGACACCAACATATAAAGACCGGGGAGGAGATTATGGGTGTACTGGGAAGTTGGCTGAAATCCGACACAGTCAGCACTTCAAGAGGACGGCGGCGGAGGAGAGGGAGGAGGAGGAGATGGGGGAGGGTGTTGCAATGATCATGTCATATCCCAACGTGTGGACGTGAGCGTTTTTTTGCATGTGCGTTTTTAACCCTTTCAGGGACAGCGGTTACTACAGTGGACAGCTTGTCATGTGATCGGGTTACAGGTTATCATTATTGGCGCATGAAAGGCTAAACTCAGTCACCGCCGCGGACGTTTGTATTCGGCGATTGGAATCCGACCGCTTGAGGTCGGCGAGACATATATAAATACGTCGGGGATTTTTTTTTTTTTTTTAAGGGGTCGGCGTGGAAGTGGATCTCGTCCCGTTTGTCTGTGACGTTCAGTTTTGGAAAACAATGAAAGAGATCACTGGAAATGGCGGCATTGCGTTAGGTTGGATTTGTGAACAGTGTGTGTGTATGATATGGGCAGATTTCGGGTTGAAAAGTGTGTTTTTTGTAATCGTGTGAAAAGCTGACACGGAGTGAAAGATGAACGCAGAGGAAAAAAAAAACAAAACATTTATGTTCAACAATAGTGTGGGTTGAGTCAGCATCGCTCACGGTGCGTTTCATGGTACTATATTGCTAAATACAATTTTGTTATTTTATAAATTAAGGTGTCACAACCCCCACCTAAAAAAAAAAATCAAATTAAGAAAAAAAAATCATGCTTCTTTCCAAAAAAAAAAAAAAAAAAAAAAAAAATTTTTTAAAAAAAAAAAAAAGCTTATTTTCTCCGCTTTTTGGTCAGAAACCGATTTTTTCCCCCCCTGCCGAATCAGATTTCAGCCTCTGTGTTGCCATGAATTTGAAATGTGATTGTAATGTTCAATCTAATCTGTCCAAACCCTGGGCAGATTAGACTGAAAATCACAATCACATTTCAAATTCATCCTCACAGGGCCAACTTGGGCTAGTGAGCTGTCCCCTTGATGACATCGACATTTTCTGCCCTCTGATTGGATGATCACAGGAAAAGTTGTCCAGCAAAATATTAAATGAGTTCTTTTAAAATATAACTGAAATTAAAAAAAAACGCACCAAACATAAATAGAATAATATTGTTTCTACTTAACTCCCAAAACGGAAGTTTGTGTGACCCGTCGACATCGCTTCTTTTGTCGAGTGAAAAACGGACTACAGTTCATTCAACGGACACTAGAGAGAGCTGTGGTGTAGACGAGCGCTCCTGGAGCTGAAGCGTCACGTGACCTGACGAGGCCTCTCAAAAGCCTTCGGTTGTACACAATGACCATGTGCTGCGTTCCGTTCCTGTTTTTTTTTTTTTTTTTCCCACATCGCAGTCTCGCAACGGATCATTTTTCGCGTCGCCGGGGGAAATATCGGCATAGAAGGCCGTCATTACTGGCCAGGTGTGTGTGTGAGAGCCCCCACTGGGAGGGTCACGTGATGTCAACAGTGTATTACTGTTTTCCTGTGCCACAAGAGGAACTGCCAAAGTGTGTGACGATGAATCATTTACAGCTCCTTCCTGTATGACTACCTGCATTTCCATTCACCATTTTGTTTTTTTCAATAATGGAATCAATATACCAATATTTTTGTAGTTGTAGACGTGTACTGCCTAATACTGAGTGTTCGACTGAATATTTTGCCCCCCCACGGTCGTCCGAAATTGTTACAGTGAATCGATTTGATCTATTATTTATTTTTAGGGGCATCTACAGTTGCTTACACTAACAACATGACTACGAGCAGTTTTTTAATCGTGATTCATTTGTTGTAAAAGCTTCCAAGCTGCAAATATTTTATATATTTATTTTCAACCATTGTGTTTACATACGCTGATATTTTTCCAAGAACAAGCTCTTATTTTTTTTTCCCAAGCTTGTTTAGTATCAGGAGAAATCAAGCAAATTCCCCCGATGGGAAAACAACATAAGGCAAGACTTGCTTGGAATAATGTCATTGTAGTTTGTTTGTTTTTTCTACAAGCAAGGAAATGAATAAAAAGATCAAACTCAGAAATGGGACATTTGTGGAAAAAATAAAAAATAAAATCTGACATTAAACTTTCAAGACTAGACGACACCAGCCCTTCTTTACCGCTTTTAGAAAAAAAACATCCACAGGAAATGTAATACAGCTACATAAGCTTCCCCAGCCGTTTATTTTCACATGGCGCTTTCACAGCCAATCCCCGGAGTTGGGAGAGACGTGCGAGGGATTCTCATGTAGGTGAGAGCATTTTTCCAGCGCTTGCCGAGTGCCAAAACAAGCCGTGGGGAGCCGAGGGGCAAACAAAAACATGGGGGGGTAGGTGACATATCGACTCTACCGTGTAGGAGTCAACAGATGGGACAAATAAACACATGCAAAGATGCTTCGTATTTGATTAAAAAGCACCCGAAGGCCGACACTAACATTGCAGGTCATACAACCAAGCTGCGGTGACACCAACATATAAAGACCGGGGAGGAGATTATGGGTGTACTGGGAAGTTGGCTTTTTTAAGGGGTCGGCGTGGAAGTGGATCTCGTCCCGTTTGTCTGTGACGTTCAGTTTTGGAAAACAATGAAAGAGATCACTGGAAATGGCGGCATTGCGTTAGGTTGGATTTGTGAACAGTGTGTGTGTATGATATGGGCAGATTTCGGGTTGAAAAGTGTGTTTTTTGTAATCGTGTGAAAAGCTGACACGGAGTGAAAGATGAACGCAGAGGAAAAAAAAAACAAAACATTTATGTTCAACAATAGTGTGGGTTGAGTCAGCATCGCTCACGGTGCGTTTCATGGTACTATATTGCTAAATACAATTTTGTTATTTTATAAATTAAGGTGTCACAACCCCCACCTAAAAAAAAAAATCAAATTAAGAAAAAAAAATCATGCTTCTTTCCAAAAAAAAAAAAAAAAAAAAAAAAAAATTTTTTTTCTCCGTTTTTTGTAGAAACATTCTCCATTTAAAAAAAAAAAAAAAAAAAAAAAAAAAAGCTTATTTTCTCCGCTTTTTGGTCAGAAACCGATTTTTTCCCCCCCTGCCGAATCAGATTTCAGCCTCTGTGTTGCCATGAATTTGAAATGTGATTGTAATGTTCAATCTAATCTGTCCAAACCCTGGGCAGATTAGACTGAAAATCACAATCACATTTCAAATTCATCCTCACAGGGCCAACTTGGGCTAGTGAGCTGTCCCCTTGATGACATCGACATTTTCTGCCCTCTGATTGGATGATCACAGGAAAAGTTGTCCAGCAAACTTTGACTCGCAAAAACACGTCTGTGGCGAACTGCACATACCATTCGAATTAATAATCAGCATCTCTGGCAAGTATGATGGATTTCATTTCTATGTTTTCACGTTTTGAAGGCCGCCCAGGCATCCATTGGAAAAACCGGCGTCAACAATTTCACATACTGTAAATCTTATTCTTGAGTAAAAGCGAATAAATTGCTTGAGCGAAATGGCTAAAAGGGACTTTGTCATCGTGGGAAACATGATTCCCCCCGCCTCCTGGCTCTTATATGTGCAACCCTGACTTCTTTGCAAAAAAAGAGACACGAGGGACGAAACTATCACACCGCTGCGGTCGTGGGCAGTTTTGTGAAGCTACAGCGTTCATCTCAGGAATTCTGTTTCTCTTTGGCCTGTGGGAAAATACTGCCAAAATGCCAAACTCACCTTGAATGAGTACAGATAGTCCATAGAGGCAATTCGCAGGAGTGCTACCACCACTCAAAAAACGAAAACGGGGGGGTGGGGAAGTCACTCAAGGGTGATATTCTCGATCCAGCTACACCACGTTTCTCATTCTCGTTAGCCCTGGTCACATGACCGCGGCCGCAGCTCTTCAGGGAAGGAGGACGTCATGACTCAAGCCTCAACCCTACATATCCAAAAGACAGTTCATCAGAACTTCCCCCCCCACTTGAGCAGCAGTTGTCGGGATGTAATAATTAACTCAGCCGGAGCTGAGAGAACAACCAATGAGGACGCAGGAAGTGTCACAGTACAAACAAAGCCTTTTTTTTTTCCCGCAATATAGCTTCAGTGAGCTTCTTGACCACCACACTTCCTGCTAGCAAGTGTGACACACCGCGGCCCGCACGGATTCGGGATAACATATCGATATCAGCTGCTTTTATGGCACATTTACGGTACCTTCCTGCCCCCCACAAAGGAAATGAAACTACACTCCAGTTGTCGATCCGGAATCGTAAATATTTGAGGAAGTCTATAAATAAGGAAATGGCAATTTTTGGCAAACGTGTATCCTGATGATTAATGTACATCAGGGGTGTCAAACTCATTTTTGTTACGGGCCACACTGTAATGACGGTTTCCCTTGGAGGGCCGTTATGAAACCATGTAAATGTTTAATCACCCCATATTACATAGACAGCACACAAAAATATTGATGGATAACTAGTTTTAAAATCAGAAGTCAAGAATAATGACTTGTTTGAACAGTGTTTACGTTAATGTAATGAGGGGTTTGGTAATGAGAACATGTTTGGAAAATCATATGAATTAGATATGATCATTTGCTTCGGTTGTACACAATGACCATGTGCTGCGTTCCGTTCCTGTTTTTTTTTTTTTTTTTACCCCACATCGCAGTCGCAACGGATCATTTTTCGCGTCGCCGAGGGAAATATCGGCATAGAAGGCCGTCATTACTGGCCAGGTGTGTGTGTGAGAGCCCCCACTGGGAGGGTCACGTGATGTCAACAGTGTATTACTGTTTTCCTGTGCCACAAGAGGAACTGCCAAAGTGTGTGACGATGAATCATTTACAGCTCCTTCCTGTATGACTACCTGCATTTCCATTCACCATTTTGTTTTTTTCAATAATGGAATCAATATAACAATATTTTTGTAGTTGTAGACGTGTACTGCCTAATACTGAGTGTTCGACTGAATATTTTGCCCCCCCACGGTCGTCCGAAATTGTTACAGTGAATCGATTTGATCTATTATTTATTTTTAGGGGCATCTACAGTTGCTTACACTAACAACATGACTACGAGCAGTTTTTTAATCGTGATTCATTTGTTGTAAAAGCTTCCAAGCTGCAAATATTTTATATATTTATTTTCAACCATTGTGTTTACATACGCTGATATTTTTCCAAGAACAAGCTCTTATTTTTTTTTCCCAAGCTTGTTTAGTATCAGGAGAAATCAAGCAAATTCCCCCGATGGGAAAACAACATAAGGCAAGACTTGCTTGGAATAATGTCATTGTAGTTTGTTTGTTTTTTCTACAAGCAAGGAAATGAATAAAAAGATCAAACTCAGAAATGGGACATTTGTGGAAAAAATAAAAAATAAAATCTGACATTAAACTTTCAAGACTAGACGACACCAGCCCTTCTTTACCGCTTTTAGAAAAAAAACATCCACAGGAAATGTAATACAGCTACATAAGCTTCCCCAGCCGTTTATTTTCACATGGCGCTTTCACAGCCAATCCCCGGAGTTGGGAGAGACGTGCGAGGGATTCTCATGTAGGTGAGAGCATTTTTCCAGCGCTTGCCGAGTGCCAAAACAAGCCGTGGGGAGCCGAGGGGCAAACAAAAACATGGGGGGGTAGGTGACATATCGACTCTACCGTGTAGGAGTCAACAGATGGGACAAATAAACACATGCAAAGATGCTTCGTATTTGATTAAAAAGCACCCGAAGGCCGACACTAACATTGCAGGTCATACAACCAAGCTGCGGTGACACCAACATATAAAGACCGGGGAGGAGATTATGGGTGTACTGGGAAGTTGGCTGAAATCCGACACAGTCAGCACTTCAAGAGGACGGCGGCGGAGGAGAGGGAGGAGGAGGAGATGGGGGAGGGTGTTGCAATGATCATGTCATATCCCAACGTGTGGACGTGAGCGTTTTTTTGCATGTGCGTTTTTAACCCTTTCAGGGACAGCGGTTACTACAGTGGACAGCTTGTCATGTGATCGGGTTACAGGTTATCATTATTGGCGCATGAAAGGTTTCATGTTAACTTCCAGCGCCAGCAAGTTGGCTCACAATAACCTCAGACCTCTGATTTGTTGGCCAAGCAAAGTTCGACGAGCCAAACACATCTGTAGCCATCTGCACCAATTTATATACAGTCAAACCTCGGTTTTCGAACGCGTCTGATCTCGACCAAATCGGTTTTCGACCAAAAATTTCGAGTTTTTTATAGCGTTCCATTGTGAGCAGACGTGTTTAATCAAGATTTTTTTTTTTTAAAAAAAGAGCGTGGTTTTGGTTTTCGAACAAATCGGTTTTCCAACAGCCTTCTGGAACGCATTATGGTCGAAAACCAAAGTATGACTGTATTGAATAATTAGCATCTATCGCGAGTATAGTGTGTGGTTTTTTTTTCATGTTCATCGATAAATATTGATTCTGAACCGATCCAGTTGCATGCTGTTGTATTGTGTTTTTGCGGGGCGTTCTTTTATGCCCACATGATAGCCGTGGTACTAAGAGGCAAATTAAGTCTGGTAAATCCCCCACCCCCCGCCCCCACCCTAAAAGGTCCAGTACCAAATATAACGACCGCCACCGATGAAACGGTATTACTACTTTGTCGGGGGCAGGTTCACTCAGCACAATAACCACGGCGACAGGCTCTGGGACGACCATGTCAACAACAAGGAGATAAAAATCTCGTCAAATTCGTACCGGAGCGGCGAGGTTCTCCTGGGCCCTGCGTCGTCGTGGTTATCTGTCAGTGCAGATTTGGCCCAAGGTGTCGCGCGTCTGAGATGTTGTCTCCGTCTTTATGCTTTCGCCCCGTGTTGGCTTATCTGATGTCACCTCCTAATCCGTCACGCGAGCGTCCCTACGAGGGATCTCGTACAAAAAAAACGAAAAAGGGGGGGAGGGGAAGTCACTCAAGGGTGATATTCTCGATCCAGCTACACCACGTTTCTCATTCTCGTTAGCCCTGGTCACATGACCGCGGCCGCAGCTCTTCAGGGAAGGAGGACGTCATGACTCAAGCCTCAACCCTACATATCCAAAAGACAGTTCATCAGAACTTCCCCCCCCACTTGAGCAGCAGTTGTCGGGATGTAATAATTAACTCAGCCGGAGCTGAGAGAACAACCAATGAGGACGCAGGAAGTGTCACAGTACAAACAAAGCCTTTTTTTTTTCCCGCAATATAGCTTCAGTGAGCTTCTTGACCACCACACTTCCTGCTAGCAAGTGTGACACACCGCGGCCCGCACGGATTCGGGATAACATATCGATATCAGCTGCTTTTATGGCACATTTACGGTACCTTCCTGCCCCCCACAAAGGAAATGAAACTACACTCCAGTTGTCGATCCGGAATCGTAAATATTTGAGGAAGTCTATAAATAAGGAAATGGCAATTTTTGGCAAACGTGTTTCCTGATGAATAATGTACATCAGGGGTGTCAAACTCATTTTTGTTACGGGCCACACTGTAATGACGGTTTCCCTTGGAGGGCCGTTATGAAACCATGTAAATGTTCAATCACCCCATATTACAAAGACAGCACACAAAAATATTGATGGATAACTAGTTTTAAAATCAGAAGTCAAGAATAATGACTTGTTTGAACAGTGTTTACGTTAATGTAATGAGGGATTTGGTAATGAGAACATGTTTGGAAAATCATATGAATTAGATATGATCATTTGAAATGTTGGTTCAGACTTTAGCAAGCATCATGGAACTTGACATGCTTGATTTGCTTTGGCGGGCCACATAAAATGACGTGGTGGGCCAGATCTGGCCCCCGGGCCTTGACTTTGACACCTGTGATGTACAGTACATATTTCACGAGTGCTGAGCATGACATCCGAAACTCACTCCCCATCAGATCCCCTTTGGGGAGTTCCAGGTCTCCAAGACTGATCGTCATGTCAAGTGGGCGGAGCATGGCGGCAAAATTTTGGCAGTCATTTGCCATAAGGCGCGAAGGCCCGTTCATCAGCGCTTGCAGCTTATTGGCAAAATTTTGGCGGTCATTTGCCATAAACGAGGGGGCGCGAAGGCCCGTTCATCAGCGCTTGCAGCTTATCGTTGTGAATATGCTCGATGGCCCAATCACGGCCTTTTTTTTTTTTTTTTTATTGTCGCAATCTCTGCCTCATTATTATGATACAGATAAAGCACTGCTAGCATAAACAACAGTTATACGTCTCTCTATCCGGTAAAACCCACCTCGCCTATACATTTTTTTTTTGCCTTGTGGAACTCAAACTAGAAATATTCACGTCTATCCGCATATTACTTCTCTCTATCCAGTAAAACCCACCTCACCTACACATTTTTTTTCTTGCCCAGTAGAACTCAAACTAGAAATATTCACGTCTATCCGCATATTTATTTGAACATATTTGCTCTTTCCATTTGGGCAGTTGACAGCACACAGCAAAAGATTCCATCAGAGTGCCAAGAAGTAGCCAAGGCCCCTGGCGGGGTTGGCGTGAGGAAAAGCGGGGTGGTCAACCTCTTCAAATGATGTGGGGCTCGCTATGAATTTGAATTTTCAGAAAAAAAAAAAAACCCTGCGGTCAACCTCTTCAAATGATGTGGGGCTCACTATGAATTTGAATTTTCAGAAAAAAAAAAAAAAAAAAGCCTGCACATATTTTTCGTGCGCTTTCTGTGATATCTTAACAAGCGACAGGATGGCACCAAAGCTCTGGCTGGTGTCAAGGAGTTATGTTGATATGATACATCGCGGCTGAGAGTTTATAAGTTGGAGAGGAGCCATTTTTAGCCTTGGGCGTTATCGGAAGTTATGGAGGATTGTTAGTTCGTTTGCTTCGTTTCCCGACCTGCGGGCAACGCGTCCAATAAGTCGTCGGAACGACTGGAAATGAACCACACGAAGGCAGGTATTTCCTCCATTACATTTCTGAAAGTGAAGACATTCTCCAAGAAGCATTTGTCGCCATCTACTCGGCGGAGGACAAATGCAATAAACTACTTCCTGTCTCTTGCTGTATTTGATAACCTTGAGCTCGGAGAGGGAAAAAAAAAAAGTCTACTCAGCGGAGGACAAATGCAATAAACTACTTCCTGTCTCCTGCTGTATATGATAACCTTGAGCTCGGAGAGAGAGAGAGAGAGAAAAAAAACGAACTTGTGGTGAAGAAAAGTGGGTAAAAGGTCAGAGAGAAAGACTTGGCGTAAGATTCCTGGCATGCCATAATCATAATTTACCATTCTTGGAATACGCATGGGAAAATATGTCCCCCTTTTCAAAACTTGCGCGACGTGTTCTGCTAAGGGATCTCAGTCACCCATGT